GCAGGGCCCCAGCCGCACCCGGCCGGCCGCAGCCTCCGTCCTCCCGCAGCCCTGGATTACGTGATCGACGGGGACACGGACCGCGGGCTCCGCGGCCAGGTCCCCCGAGTGACCTTCCTGAGCCGCGGCCTGGAGGACCCCAAGCACCAGGCCTCCGGCACCGTGTGGCTGAAGCGGCAGCAGGCCCGAGAGTGCGCCGAGGCCACGTTCCAGCTTCAGGTGCGCCCAGCCGCCGTCCGCCCGCGGGGTCTCCGCCCGGGTCCTCTCAGCTTCTGTTCTGGCGAGTCTCGCTCACGCGCCAGCCGACCCCTCGGCATCCCGCCGCTCCCTGGGGCGGCCAGGCCTCACCTGCCGCACCCCGTCTCCTGAGTCCTGCCCCCCCGGGACACCCGGCTGGAGGTTTCCCAGGTCACGCCCGGGCCTCGAACTCCGATCCTGGGGCTCGAACACTCCCTCACCCCCTCACCCCCTCTGTCTTCCTTCGCCGGTTCAGAATCCGAACTTTAAGAGCATCACGCCTGGCTGGGGCTGGGGGGGTCTGGGCCTGGGGTTGACCTAGTCGGCGTCTTTCCTCCAGGAGAATGTCAAAGACAAGCTTCGGGCCATCGTGGTGACCCTATCCTACAGTCTCCAGGCCCCGCGGCTCCGGCGACAGGCTCCCGGCCAGGGGCTCCCCCCTCTGGCCCCCATCCTCAATGCCCACCAGCCCAGCACTCAGCGGGCAGAGGTGAGCATGGCTTCCAGCTCAGCCGGGGGCACGGGGGCCCCCGTGGTGCTCACAGGCAGCCCGCAGCCCCTTCTCTCTCAGGGTGCTGCAGGAGTGGCCCCCGAGGTAGAACGCGGGCCGGTGATCGGGCGTGGCTAGCCAGAGGGTCAGTGCTTCTCCGATCCCGTGGCCGTTCAGGACCGGGGGTCTGTCATCTCCAGATCTGGCCTCCACGGTCCTCGGGTCATCGCCACCGTGGCCAGCTGTGGGCGGGAGCACGGGGCGCCGTGCCAGGGCCTCACGGCCAGCGCGGAGGCGACGCTCTCACGTGCCGAATCGGGGCTCAGTCATCTGCCAGGTCTCGCTGCGCACTGGCCTGGCTCCCACCTGGCTCGTGATCTCCCACCGTTCACTGGCAGGCTCAGAGAGGTTAGGGGAGCAGCTCAGCGGCACACAGCCTTCTAGAGCAGATCTGAGAGCCGAGCACGGGTCGTTTTGCACCGTGGCCCCTATGCCTCGGCGTGGCCTAGGGATGCCCCCCTCGAATCTCTCCAGATCCACTTCCTGAAGCAAGGCTGCGGCGAGGACAAGATTTGCCAGAGCAACCTGCAGCTGGCTCATGCCCGTTTCTGCGCGCGCATCAGTGACGTGGAGTGCCAGCCTCTGCCCATGTGAGGGGGCGGGGCGGCGGGCGCCAAGCCCAGGCGGGAGGCAGAGGCGCCTGAGCCAGAGGCACAGGCCGGCAGGACCCGCTGGCTGTCTAGACGGCAGCAGGACCCAGGCCTGAGGGCGGGGGCCCCTGGGCTGGGGGGGCTCCAGTCCCCGGTGACAGTCTGCACATGCGTAGCCCGAGAGGAAGGGCGTGACGGTCCCGGCTTAGAGACGGGCAGTGGAGCCCCGGTGGGCCCAGGGCAGGGGGGTGCTGGAGCCGGGCGCTCGGAGCCCCTGGGGGGCCAGACGCGGGC